CAAAAAAAGAAAAAGAAAAATTAGCTGGGCATGGTGGCATGCACCTGTAGTCCCAGCTAGTAGGGAGGCTGAGGCAGGAGGATTGCTTGAGCCCAGGAATTCGAGGTTGCAGTGAGCTAATGATAACACCACACTGCACTCTAGCCTGGACAACAGAGCAAGACTCTTGTCTCAAAACATAAAATAAAAGGTAAGAGATGTTTTATCAAAATTACTTATGCAACCACATACAAAAATAAAATCAAGATGAGATACAAAGGGAATTTACAAAGCTGAACACCTATCTTGTATCAGATCCTACATATCAGTATCTCATTTAATATTCTAAACCTTTTTTGGGGGAGCAGGGAGCTCCTAATTTATGTTCAGATGCTACAAAAACCCTCCATTCCTGTTCTTAACGAAAGAGCTAACCAGAACAGCCTAAATCTACATGTATTAATAATAAAGTGATGATCCTAATTCAAACTGGGAAGTTAGTGCAATCCAACTAACATTTATTTCAAATGTGTGTGCCCAACTTTTAAACAAAACTTGATATATGAATCCTGAATGTAGAGTAATAGAAATGTTAGGAGTTAGAGAAGGGCCTTAGAGATCATAGAGTACAACCTCTTAATTTTACAGATGAAGCAATTAAAACCAAAGGGTTTGTTCACTTTTCACCCAAATTAAAACAGTGGCCAGACTAGATGTGTGGGCTCCTAACTTCCAGCTGTTACCACAGATTTAACCACATGAGGGAATTCAATTATTTGCATGTCAAAACACCTTGACTTTTCATGAGCAACTGCATAGCTACTGGATTTTTAAAAATGATTTAATTTGCCTGATTATTGGTAGCAGACATTTCAGAAATATGGAAAGCAAACTTTGCCCAAATTGGACCTCACAGATTAATAGAAAATACTGTTTCTATGCCATAATAGTGGCTGGCCGTTAACTGGTGTACATGATGTTTGTTTGTTGAACGAATGTGTGCCAACCTAAGTACTGCCATCGTTGGCAACAGGTCCATATGTCCCAAATCAAAGCAAGACACCGTGAAAAGAACTGCATATATATTTAATATTTTTAAAGTGGTTGATCTAAAAATAACTTGTAGGATTTAAGGACATGCTGGTCTGTCTCAGCATAATTCGATGTAGCCATTTTTGATATAAAAACTCCATAATCCTACAAATACGAAATAGCTCTTAATACCGCTATGATACTCCAAATAATTTGGAAAGAATAAATCTAAAAAGGAGACTAAATTAGCTCTGCAAAATAGCTGTAGCACTCATGCTGGCACCCAGGGAATGAAGACTTTAAGCTTAGCCCTGATCTGGTAGACACACAGTAACTATCCTCAAAGAGTTTTACCTCTCTCCATCCCCACTTTCTCCTTTAAGCAACAGAAAAGCAGCGCGATGTGCAAGAGGGCTGGTTTTCATGAAAAGAATCTGACCCCAAAAGTACTGCCGCTTTGCACATCTCACAACCTGAAAAAGCTCGGGCAGGAAATTTTCCACGAGCTAGAAACGACTTACAGCAACTACAGGCGAGAGCAAAATCAAAGCCCTTCCCACTGGTGCCCGAACGCCCCGGAGCACTCACCCCGGCAGAGCCGGGCCCGGAAATCGGCTGCCCAAGGTCCGAGATGGGGCGTGAGTGACGTGACGAAGCCCCAGCCCGCGCGGCAAGGACCGCAGGCGGAGAAGGCCCCGGCGCCCATTTTGTCCTCGGCCTCCATACTTCCCGCCCCGTCCCCCTCGGGCCAGGCAAGCTACGCGAGGCTCGGACCCAGGCTCCTCACCGCGGCCCGCATCCTGGACACCGCTAGACTGCGGCGCGTGGCCCGCTCCGGCGGGGGCCCCGGGATCTGGCGTCGACCCCAGCCTCACCCGCTGCTCAGGCGCGCGGATCCGGCCCCCGCCTCGCCCCGGCTCCGCGGGCCCAAAGCCTCACGCTCCGCCCGAGCTTCATTCCCCCAACCCTCCTCGCGCGAACCTCCCCCACTCACCCCGGGCCTCACGCCATGGCTCCCCCGGGCTGGGCCTCACGCCCTCACCCTGCGGACCCGAGGCTGCTCAACCCTCCCCGCCCAGACCCCGCTCCTTCGCGCCCCCGACTGGAGCCCCCCCAGCGCCCCTCTCGTCCACGACTGCAGGCCCAGCACCCTTAGCCCCAGACTGCATGCACGCCAGGACCGTACCCCCCAGCAAACAGATGCACCAGCGTGTCTCTCTGGCTCATTCTCTCTCCAGCATGTCCTCCGGGCGCTGAGGCGGGACGCGGATCCGGCCGGCCGCTATGGCCGGCAGCTTGGGTCCCGGACTGGAGACGCACAACGCCCCGGGGACGGCGAGGGGAGCAGGCGGAGACGCGGCTGCAGAAAGCAACCGACGCAGCCCTCCCCACGGCGCTCCAGCCGCGCAGCCGCCTCCTCTACCTCAGCGCCCCAGACCCGAGGCCGAGAGCTGCGAGGCGGCGGAGGGTGGGCGGGGAGAGGCGTGAATATTTGATAACCCCGGCATAAACAGAGGCTCCCATTGGTCCGACCTTGGTGACGTCACGCGGCCTGCACGGCTCTTTCACGTGATCGCGTAGGGGTTTTTCAATGAAAGGGGCCGCGAGGCGGGGCCCAGCGCGTGCCCAGAGGGTAGTAGGTTACTTCGCCCTCGCACCTAATCTGTCCACCGGCAGCAGGCGCGGTCTGGGCCTGCGCGGGCGCGCGGATGAGGGCTGCTAGCGCCTGGCCGCGCGACGGGGAGAAACTGCCTGGGTTCCGGGTTCACATGCGAATTTACTTTGAAAAAATTGGACTTAGGACCCAGCGATTCTGCTTCCTAGTGTCTATCCCAGAGTAACACTTGAACAATGCATGAAAGGGCTTGCACAAGGATACTCGGCGTGCAGAATCACACACAATATTAGGAACAATGCTTGTAGTTGCAGAAAATTGGGCTAATGGGGGAATGGAGAAATAAATCATAGAACATTCTTACTATGCAATATTATGAAATCATGACAAGGGTCGAGGTAAATTTATATGGCCAAAACATCTCCAAAGTGTAATAAGTAAAAAAAGTGAATAGAATTAAAACACTAAGATTTATTTTAGAAAGGATAAAGCAAACTGACATTTATTCATTCTACCGATAAGCAAACGTTTCTTGTATGTATACACAGAAAGGTCAAAAATTAAGGGAAAGAAAATGTTTTATTTTTCCAGAACATGGTGATTATTTTTAATTTTTATTAATTAGTAATTATTTCTAAGGTACAGAAAAATCCAGAAAGTAATATAACAGATATCCTTATGCTCATCTCCCAGACTGAGCAAATTTTAATATTTCAACGTATCTGCTCACCTAACTTCCTTTATATTAATACTTGCAAGGCCCTCATTGCCCTTTCCCACCCATATGAAATTATCCAGAGCTCACCTTCCTTTGCTTCCAGGGCCACTTCCTCCATGCAGTCTCCCCTGATTGCCTTAGCTCTTTACGGTCTTTACTTGCTCCTAAATTCCTGTACAAAATGTACAGACTGCATCCCACTGGCAAGTGTTCATCTGCTCCACGGTA